TATAGAGACTGGCTAGGTTACTTCATAGACTAATAGTTCTCTTTCCAATTCTAGGGTTTTATATTTCTGTAAAAATCTGAGAAATTTGAGATTGATTATAGTTTCTGACGGATAATACTGATTTCACGGTGATTGGGGTGATCGGACTGCCTAGGGTAGGGAAGTCGACGATAATGAATGAGCTCTATGGCTTTGATGGAACTTCACTTGGTAACATATACATATATGCTCTTACTCTTCTATATATGTATATGATTTTCTGTTTAGTTCATAAGAAAGAATGATATAAAATAATACTAGAAATATGAAAGGTGGTTTTGATAGAAAGCTTCTTCAAAAGAACAAATCTGTTTGTGTTTTTCCCAAAAGGAACTGTAAATTTTGCATTTTTTTTGATTTTTTTCTGATTAAAACATTGAAAAGTTTGATGGGTTTGTTCTAATTTGCTACCCTTTTTTTTCTTGATTAAAACACTGAAAAGTTTGATGGGTAGTTCTAATTTGCTATGGAGATCAGAAGGATTTTTGACTTATTTATTTATTTATTTATATCTCAGATGTATTATTTATTTATTTATTTTCTGTAAACTGTTACTTTATTTTTGACTTATAATTAGTTGATTTAAATCTTATTGACATAAATTGAACTACAGGTTCATTATCCTTTACAGGATATTCAGGTGTCCCATTTTCTAAATCCAAAGTACAGCTTCTTGAAGCAGAGGTCAACAGTTTAAACAATCTTAACTTATTCTCTGTATTTTTCTTTTGTAATTTTTTTCAATAATATATGCCCTTTTGAGGATGACAAACAGTTAAATTAATCACCAAAATTACAATCTTCAATCTTAGGGTCGATATATATATATTATATATATATAATATTTATGTTGGATGCATCACAATTATTTTGGTTAGATTAAGTTTGTGGGGTTCTGGTTGTCTTTTTCTGTTTTTGGGCGTGTTTGAAATTGAACCTAAACAAAAAACAAAACAAGAAATAAGGGGTGCAGAAAGAAAGAAAGTAGCAGAAGGCATTTCTTGAGAATACCATTTTTTGTTATTTTTATTTGTTTGAATTATTCTTTTTTTTAATTTTTAAATTTAAAAAATTTTCTTTATGGAATTACAAACCTAAGACTTGGTAGAAAACTGCTTTTCGTTCCGTTTGCTTTCTCTTTTCCCTATTTTACTGTTTCTTCTTTCCAAAATGATATCCATAAGAAACATGAAAACAATAAAATAAAAAATAAAAAACTTGTATTTTTTATCTTTTATTTAATAGATATCAAGGACTTTGGGTAAAAATTGTTTTTATTCTGTTTGCCTTCTCTTTTACCTATTTTACTGTTTCTTCTCTTGAAAATGATATCCATAAGAAACCAAAACTATAAAAACAAATTTTGTTTTGGTGGATTATTTATTTATTTTCTGTTTCATCGCTGCCTTTAGTTTCTTCTATGGGTCTTATTGTTATAAGAAACACTGTTTTGTTTCATTGGTTTAGGAAAAGACGAAAGGAACCTAAGCTGGAAGCTCTCGAGAAGATTAAAGGCGGTAAGTACAAAAACACTTATGCAATTGAAATTTTCAAGTGTTTCTCCAGTTCTTTAGCAACCCTTGTTTTTTGTTTTTGATTAATTTTGCATTTTTGATTAATTTTGCAGAGGCTTATGGTTCTAGGATTCATTTCCCTATACTCCCTGACATTTTGGGCAAATCTACATTGCCAACGTCTGTATACCCACGAAGCTTGCAGATACATGTTGCCGTGTCCCATAAAACATTCATGGTGGCCACCATCTTGAACCAGAGCATGAAACTGCCCCTAAGGAGGAGCCAGACCACCATAGGAGGCTTCTATGGAATGACCATAGAATTTTAGCTGGTGGTGAACCTGCTAAAGGGTGCAAGAAAGTAAGTGTCTTGTTCTGTAGATGATTTAATCTAAATTTTGTTCTGCTTGTTTTGGTGCAATGAAAGGTTTTATATGGTTTAGTTAGTAACTTTATGCATAGAAAAAAGCTGAGCTAGCCATGCTCTCATTTTCATAAAAAGGGCGAATTAAAGTGGACCACGAATCGCAACAATTTACGAAAGGGTATTCCGGTAAAACTTTCTGATGTAAAGCCTGAATTATATATTGCTGCCTTTCACAGCATCCATGTGTACCTTTTTTCTTCTTTCCATTATATAGTGCGAAACTGCTGTGAGCTGTGGAACGTAAGGCAATCTTTTGAACCACGTGAATCTCGTGTGTCGTGTTTCTTTGTTTTGTGATTGTTTATTTGCTATTGTTTGTGTGTGTGGTTTGCTCCGCGAACATAAAGAGGGTTTAATTGTAGATCCACTGGTTGTATATTCCTTTTCTTTCGCTCTTTCTTTCATCTCCCACATCCTCAGCCAGAATAAAGAGTTTAATTGCAGATCTTACCATTGTATGTTCCATTTTCATTTCTCCTCTTTCCTTCATCTCCCACATCCTCAGGCCAAATTTTGTTCTCCCTTTACTCAATTGGTTGGAGGGATGTAGATCCCTTTGCAGAACTACTCTCAAACTACCATTTCTGATAGGAAAATCATCTATCGATAATCCTATTCAATCAGTACTATGGAAGTTCAGATGTAGTTTTCAAACAATCAATTTAGCTTGAAATCAGATTTCTATATGAAACATAGGATGAATTCAACAGATCTGCTGATCTAGCTTAAAATTCTACGAATCTATGTACTCGAATTTTTATTTTAATGGTGTTTGTTTGCAATATAGTCTCGTATTTGGTGCTGTTTTGTGTGGTAGTTTAGATACCTCTTCTCAAATCCAGAAATGATTTTGTTGTCATGCCTGATATGTTGATAAGATGCTTGAAGTCCATCCAAGGTTTTCACTTTCTCAGGCCATTTTATTATTATTTTTTTTTATTAATTTTTAAACGAATTTGTTTTTTGTTGTTGGCTTGTTTGTTCTCATTTTTTCAGAGGAGGTGGTAATTCCATGCTTTTGGTCATTCTTCTGAATCAAGATATTCTCAAATTATATGTGAAGCCTTCCAATTGACATCAAGTTCGATTTCTTAAACTCTGCTGACTGTAACTGTGCTCCCTATTTTGATTTGAAGCACGACGACATACTTAATTCTAAGAAATTACTTAATCACAACGATTCCATCAATCAGACGGGTACCGTGCACTTATAATCTATCCATGGGTTACATCAGTTGCACATCCTTCATATTCTTTTTGGCCGTCTTTCATGTTTATATACAGTGCGCATAACAATGACACTTGGTTGAGACTGTGAAGGTGCGTGTATATAATGATTGCTTTTAGTTTTTCGTGTTATTATTCTGAACAGTTCTTTCATTATAATGGAATAGACCGAGGCTAAGAGTTTACCTATGGGACAGATTATATCTATATTTTTAGCCTTTTCACAGCCTTCTATCTTGATCATTCAATTTGTTGCACGGGTGATCTCAATACTTTATACTTTATGTCCAAGGTTTTCTTACATGCAGATACGTGGTTGGAAGGAATGGGAACAGATTTGAAACGTGAACACCTAATTGATGAATCAATGGTAAATCATCAAACAATTACAATTTGTTTTAATTTATCTTCAAACAAATTATTTTTTACTCGATCCCCCATTGAATTTTCCATAATTTCTCCCGTATGATCTTCATTGCTGAACTCTCTCTGTTACTGTCAACCACCATTACCACACATTGATCTTCTTCCCTTCTCCAGTGGTGATGAATCAACTCAGCTTTAGCACCTGAGCGTAAGCTATTACAATTAATGGGATGTACCTTGGGGGACCAATATAAATTGTATGAACTTACGACACAATTAATGGGGACTCACCATTTGTGAATTAGCCTTAAAATAATTTTTGTTCCATAATCTCAAAAAAAGTTGTGTTGACAGGGATAAATTGTATAATTGATCTAATTGTAAATTGAATGAGTACTAATGTTTTAATCTTTGTATAATTTGATTTAATTTACTAAACTTTTAATTTATTTTTTGCAGATTGGATTTAGAGTTGGCATTTTTGACGCCGCAACAATGAATGTATTTGTTTGAATGTTCATTTTTGGTTTTGGATAAAGGATACACATACTTTTTGGAGTTGCACTAGTTAGTTGTTGGATTTTGGCTGGAAGTTGAACAAGAATATTAACTTTTGGATATTTGTGGATATTTCAACTATTTTATTTGTTAGGATGAAATTATTTGTAATGATGAAATGGATTATCTCATTTTTGTTAATTCATAAATTGTGTTGAAACATGTTTAGGTTTATAGTTGTGGATTGGAATTGTATATATCAACAGGTTTTCAACATAATAGAGTCATATTTGTGAACTAACAATTAAGAATTTGATAAAATAGGTATATAATTGTGAAAAAAATATTATGGAATTATTGACAATTTTCATCCTTAAAAAGGTTTTTCTCTCTTATTTAGGCTTAGGTGGAGGATTAATTTTGTCATGAATATTTTTTTTTTTTTTTTTTTTTTTTTTTTTTGTTTTTTTTTTTTTTTTTTTTTTTTTGCCTCTTTCTCTGAACCTTGACGTGGTTCGTGGATTTGTGTGAATTGAGCAACGGAAAATGGCAGCAGGAGGAGGAGGAGGAGATGAAAGTTCTGCTGGGAGGGAGCTTGATCAGACACCAACGTGGGCAGTAGCTTTGGTTTGCGCAGTTATCGTTGTAATCTCTATATTATTAGAGAAGCTTCTTCACGGAGTCGGAGAGGTAATTGTGTTAATAATGTTGTTATTCCATCACCCATGCAATTTTAATTGCAGGGTTTTTTTTCCTTTTCTCTTTCACTTTTTGGTATATTATGTAAATTGGTCTCTTCAATCTTAGGAGTCAATATATATATATATATATATAAATATTTATGTTGGATGCACCACAATTATTTTGGTTAGATAAGTTTGTGGGGTTCTGGTTGTCTTTTTTCTGTTTTGGGGCTGTTGAAATTGAACCTAAACAAAAACAAAACAAGAAATAAGGGGTGCATAAAGAAAGAAAGTAGCAGAAGACATTTCTTGAGAATACCATTTTTTGTTATTTTTTATTTGTTTGAATTATTCTTTTTTTAATTTTTTTAATTTTTAAATTTTCTTTATAGATTACAAACCTAAGACTTGGGTAAAAACTGCTTTCGTTCCGTTTGCTTTCCCTTTTCCCTATTTTACTGTTTCTTCTTTCCAAAATGATATCCATAAGAAACAATGAAAACAATAAAATAAAAAATAAAAAACTTGTATTTTTTATCTTTTTATTTAATAGATTATCAAGGACTTGGGTAAAAATTGTTTTTATTCTGTTTGCCTTCTCTTTTACCTATTTTACTGTTTCTTCTCTTGAAAATGATATCCATAAGAAACCAAAACTATAAAAACAAATTTTGTTTTGGTGGATTATTTATTTATTTTCTGTTTCATCGCTGCCTTTAGTTTCTTCATGGGTCTTATTGTTATAAGAAACACTGTTTTGTTTCAGTGGTTTAGGAAAAGACGAAAGGAACCTAAGCTGGAAGCTCTCGAGAAGATTAAAGGCGGTAAGTACAAAAACACTTATGCAATTGAAATTTTCAAGTGTTTCTCCAGTTCTTAGCAACCCTTGTTTTTTGTTTTTGATTAAATTTTGCATTTTTGATTAAATTTTGCAGAGCTTATGGTTCTAGGATTCATTTCCCTACTCCTGACATTTGGGCAAATCTACATTGCCAACGTCTGTATACCCACGAAGCTTGCAGATACAATGTTGCCGTGTCCCATAAAACATCATGGTGGCCACCATCTTGAACCAGAGCATGAAACTGCCCCTAAGGAGGAGCCAGACCACCATAGGAGGCTTCTATGGAATGACCATAGAATTTTAGCTGGTGGTGAACCTGCTAAAGGGTGCAAGAAAGTAAGTGTCTTGTTCTGTAGATGATTTAAATCTAAATTTTGTTCTGCTTGTTTTGGTGCAATGAAAGGTTTATATGTTTAGTTATAACTTATGCATAGGAAAAAGCTGAGCTAGCCATGCTCTCATTTCATAAAAATGGGGAATTAAAGTGGACACGAATCCAAGCAAATTGTACGAAGGGTATTCCGGTACTTTCTTGATGTAAAGCCTGAAATATATATTGCTGCCTTCACAGCATCCATGTTGTACCTTTTTCTTCTTTCATTATAGTGGAACTGCTGTGAGCTGTGGACGTAGGCAATCTTATTGAACCACGTGAATCTCTGTGTCGTGTTTCTTTGTTTGTGATTGTTTATTTTGCTATTGTTTGTGTGTGTGGTTTGCTCCGCAACATAAAGAGGGTTTAATTGTAGATCCACGGTTGTATATTCCATTTTCTTTTCTCCTCTTTCCTTCATCTCCCACATCCTCAGCCAAATAAAGAGGGTTTAATTGCAGATCTACCATTGTATGTTCCATTTTCTTTTCTCCTCTTTCCTTCATCTCCCACATCCTCAGCCAAATTTGTTCCCCTTTACTCAATTGGGGAGGGAGAGACCCTTGCAGAACATCTCAACACTACCATTTTCTGTAGGAAAATCATCTATAAATCCCATTCACAGACTATGGATAGTTCAGATGAGTTTTCAAACAATCAATTTTTAGCTTGAATCAGCTTAATGAACATAGGATGAATTCACAGATCTGCTGATTCTAGCTTAAATTCACGAATCATGACTCGAATTTTTTTTATTAAGGTGTTTGTTTGCATATAGTCGTATTGGTGCTGTTTGTGGTAGTAATACCTCCAAATCCAGAAATGATTTTTGTTGCATGCCTGATATGTTGATAATATGCTTGAGTCCATCAAGGTTTTCATTTCTCAGGCATTTTTTTATTATTATTTAAAAACGAATTTGTTTTGTTTGTTTGCTTGATTTTGTTTAATTTTCAGAATTCATGCTTTTGGTCATTCTTCTGAATCATATTCTCAAATTATATGTGAAGCCTTCAATTGACATAGTTGATTTCTATACTCTGCTGACTAACTGTGCTCCCTATTTGATTTGAAGCACGACGAATACTTATTCAAGAAATACTAATACAATTCCTATCAATAGGGGTACGTGCCACTTATATCTATCCATGGGTTACATCAGTTGCACATCTTCATATTCTTTTTGGCCGTCTTTCATGTTATATACAGTGCCATAACAATGACACTTGGGAGATTGAAGGTGCGTGTATATAATTGATTGCTTTTAGTTTTTCTGTTTTATTACTTGAAAGTTCTTTCATTATATGGATTAGCCGAGGGGCTTAAGAGTTACCTTGGGACAGATTATATTATATTTTTAGCCCATTTTCACAGCCTTCTATCTTGATATTCAATTTGTGCACGGTGTGATCTATACTTTATACTTTATTCCAAGGTTTTCTTACATGCAGATACGTGGGTGGAAGGAATGGGAACAGTTTGAAACTGAAACCAATGATGAATTCAATGGTAAATCATCAAACAATACAATTTGTTTTATTTATCTTCCAAATTATTTTTTACTCGAATCCCCCATTGAATTTTCCATATTCTCCTAGTATCTTCATTGCTGAACTCTCTGTACTGTCAACCACCATCCACACTCATTGATCTTCTTCCTTTCTCCAGTGGTGATGATAACTCAGCTTTAGCACCTGAGCGGTAAGCTATTACACATTAATGGGATGTACCTTGGGAGGGACCAATATAAATTGTATGAACTTACGACACAGTAATGGGATGCACCATTTGTGAATTAGCCTTAAAATTAATTTTTTGTTCTCATAATCTCAAAAAAAGTTTGTTACAGGGATAAATTGTATAATTGATCTAATTGTAAATTGATGAGTTACTAATGTTTTTAATCTTTTGTATAATTGATTAATTACTAAAACTTTTAATTTATTTTTTTGCAGATTGGATTAGAGTGGCATTTTTGACGCGCAACAATGATGTAATTTGTTTGAATGTTCATTTTTGTTTGATAAGGATACACATACTTTTTGGAGTTGCACTAGTTATTGTTGGATTTTTGGTGGAATTGAACAAGATATAACTTTTGGATATTTTGTGGATATTTCACTATTTTATTGTATTAGGATGAAATTATTTGTAATGATGAATGGATATCTTCATTTTGTTAATTCGTAAATGTGTTGATAACATGTTAGGTTAAGTTGTGATGGAATTGTTATATTCAACAGGTTTCAACATGAATAGAGTCATATTTGTTGAACTAAAATTTAGATTTTGATAAAATAGGTATATAATGTGGAAAAAAATATTATGGAATTATTGACAAAATTTTTCATCCTTAAAGAAGGTTTTTTTCTCTTATTTAGCTTAGGTGGAGGATTAATTTTGTCATGAATTCTTTATTTCGTCGCTAAATGAATTTGTCATGACAAAAAATATTGTCACATTTTGTCACTATTACCCTCAATGTGTGACGAATTTTTTTTGACACTATTTCATCATTTTTAATGATGAATTTGTTTTTCTCTATTGGTAGCTTCTTTGACAAAAAAATTTAGTCTTCGTTTATATTAAACGTGACAAAAGTATTTCATCTCTATTTCTTATATTTATGACAAAATACTTTTGTCTCTAATTTCTCTCTAAATGACAAAATATTTTGTTGCTAATTACTTCAAAGTATGTTCCCAACAGAATGTATTGGAGACAAAAAAATTCGTCACAAAATTTTCATTTTTAATGATGAATTTGTTTGTCTCTATTGGTAGCTTCTTTGACAAAAAAATTTCGTCTTCGTTTATATTAAACATGACAAAATTATTTCGTCTCTATTGCTTATATTTATGACAAAATACTTTCGTCTCTAATTTCTATTTTTAATGACAAAATATTTTGTCGCTAATTACTTACAAGTATGTTCCCAACAGAGTGTATTGGAGACAAAAAAATTCGTCACAAATTTATCATTTTTAATGATGAAATTGTTTTTGTCTCTATTGGTAGCTTCTTTGACAAAAAAATTTCGTCTTCGTTTATATTAAACATGACAAAATTATTTCGTCTCTATTTCTTATATTTATAACGAAA